TCTGATAATCAACCAAGAGTGCACTGTGAACTTTTCTCCAAAGCCCCTGCAGATAAAGAAGGATTGATGTGTATCTATCAGTTGAGACACTGATCCTTAGTTTGTTGTTTTTCCTAATTGGAGAAAAATTGTCACAAAAATTCACTCACAAGTCTATATGGCATTTAGGTTTCACTCCCTTTTATTGCATAGTTCTAAAGAATAGCTGAGCAATATCCTTGATTGCTTGTTCCGGTCCTTACCTCTCAATTAGGTCATTCCTAGAATGAAAAGTCAACCACTTTAAAATCTACTTTGTCTTTAAATGAGTTACGTATAGCATGTTCATTTTAAAAATTGTATCGTGCCATGAACTTTCATCTCACTTCTGGACCTTCTTCAGTTGGCGTACAGCTGAGATGGAGGCTAATGCACTCTCTGGCTGAAAGGTTAGCATCTTTATTGTTTGGGTCAGCCAAGACACTGTTCTCTTTTCTTACTGAAAGAGATAAGACATGTGGGTAATTGCAATAGGAATGTGATTGCATTGATTTACGTTTTACAATAGCTTCCCGTTTCCAAACGCTGATTCAATTCTTTGTAGCTTTTCAGAACTCCTCAGCTGATGTTTTCCAAGAGTGATCTCTGCCAAAGGCTGAATTATTGGACTGGCACACACATTTGCTTGTTCCCAGTCGACAATCTTTTTAGAACAACACTGTGAGCACCAAACCCTGCCGTTCTCATGCCATGAATGTTTTTACTGTCCTAATTATTAATTAAGAAATACTTAAGTAATCAAAAGAAACTTTTTTCATCGCAGCCTGTTCCTATTTTCCTCCATTTTTGGGGGGTCTACAAAGCCTTACTTCTTGTACACCTCATTTTAAAATGTCTTTAATGACATGGATAGATATCTTACAGCTGAGTTCAGGCAGGTACATGTTGAGCTTCACAGCATAGCTGCCCCTGCTGTGTTCAAACAAAGCTAAACGTCAGTCATGCAAAAGAAAGACAAAGAAAGTAGCCGGTGAAGGTTCTGTGGAGCAAGAAATAGATGTGGCCTAGGAATAGATCAGGGAAAAAAGAAATCTAGGAGATTTTAATTTAACCACAAAGCACATAAGGAAAGGGTTGCAGGTTTAGAAGATCTGAACATGACCAAAATTGCGGTTGGCCCCAGGCTTGGTCTTCCTTATGCAAAACTTATGATTCTGGTCTATCATAGTCCAAGATCTAGTGAATAATCTGCCCTTTCACATCTGTCTCAGCATTGCTAGAGACTCTTTCACCCTTTATGCTTTTTTCTTTCTTTTCAGACCGTTTCTCCCTGATGTATTTTCATCCCATCACTCCAAGTTATGACCAGCGCTTACATAAACTTTTAGGAAAGAGAAGAAAGGAAATCATCAATTCTGACAGAAGAGTGGAAAGATGAAAGGGGAGAGAAACTGAGCTTCAGACAGGAAAGGGGAGGGCAGTAGTTAAAGAAAAATAGTAATATAAATCCAAAGAAGAGGATCCGATTACCACGATCTGATGACTTTACCCCTTACCCTTCACAGAGATGAGTTTCTTTCTTTCAGCACAGTTCCCTTATAAAGTGCTCAGGGAAGATTTTGTTCAGGAAGGTGAGCTTTTGATAGTACTTGCTGAATAAACCATTCTTGTGGGTTATTCTGTAGTTACCTTTTTTCTAGTTTTGCATTAAGTAATTAAAGCAGAGGGGTAAAGTGTTTTATTCCTCATCTGAATTTGCATGGAGCAGAAAGTTCTATCCCAAGGATTGTCCCCTGTTCACACCTTAGATAGGCAAAAGACTCTTTAGTTTCCTCTCAGTGCATTTTAATCGGTCTTTTTCCATGGAAGCCCCATTGCAACCAGTGGTAATTCATGACAGTCTCAGAAAAAAGATCACAGTCTTAATATTTCTGCAGATTAAGGTACAAAAAGCAGAACAGGATGAAAGACAAATATCTTGTTAAAAAAAGGACAAGCAGTTCTCTCAAGGAAGGTTGTATCTCTTTCATGAAGCTCTTCACAGTTACAGCTTAATCAAAAGGCCAGGATGGGGAAGTTTCTGTTGCTGGTGCGTGTTTTATCTAAAATTTCTTCCTGTGAACTGCACAGTTGCAGCGTGCCTGGAGTGCTGAGTTAGTGGGAGAGAAGCTTCTAAGAGTCTCACAGTCTTACGGAGATCTCTCTGACATGAGTAGTCTAAAGGCCCTTGCTGAATGTGTGTAGATCTCCGGGTGATCTGGGAAATTACAGTTGAGTCCCTTCAATTCCAGACCACTTCTGCCTGTGCACATTTAGAAGAATTTAGAACGAGGTCTGTATATAGCCGGGATACATCAAGATGATGTTGATATCGTCTTCAAAGAGCATAATGTCAGTGCAGAACTCACTGCTCCACCCGTCTGTATGAAGGAATCCTGTGGGTTCCAAAACGCGTTCTGTCTGCTGGAAGGTGAATCTAGACCTCTGTCTAGAGATCTGCATTACACTCATAAAAACAGGTGTAATGAAGTTCATAAGATATCCCATGGATGTGCTTAAATTCTTTTTAATAAGGAATGAACAACACCTTTTGGTTATGGAAGCCAACAACACTGATAAAAATGATACTAAAGGAATTGAAAGAAATTAAAGGGGATGAGTTTTACTATTTAATATATTAAAGTGACATTATAACTTGAAAGACTTAATATTGTTGTATTATCCATGAAGCTCTCTTCCAAAACTTCAGTATTCCTTTTCAGTCTTAGAAATTTGGACCCATCAACCAGAATCGCAGAAATACATTTCTTTAGTGATGGAAGATTCTATAACGGTTTCACGAGTGGTGCGTTTTTATCAGCTCTTAGCGAGCAAGTGCTGTAAGGTGGGAAGCTCTGTGCCTGAAAGGTGCTCTGCTAATTCCCGCTGTATGATCTCTTAACCAGTGATGCCCTCTTGTGGATCCCCGTAGTGTGCCTACTACTGGAATAACAAATGCCTGATAACAGTGAATTTTTTCTTCTAATATTCTAATAACTAAAATATCAAACTAAACAACTTAAAGGCACAGAGTTCATATGAATGTGTATAGCAAGGGACATGGTGCACTGATGGAGGAAAGCAGGAGTCCTATGGGAATTGGAGAGGTCTGGTCAGAGTAACCAAGGTGACTTGGGAGAACTGGGAGGTATGAAGAGCGGTGTGACGGCCAGGAGAAGTTAGTGGTTGGCTGCTTAGGAATCCGTGCATTGCCAGAGCCCGGTGGTAAGAGGGTAGGCATATGGATGTGCAGCCCTCTGAGTGCAGGGACTGAACTCTGAAAGGATTTGGGGCAAATACATGAGATGTGTGGAATCACATTCCTGGTGGTTGGCAGTGGGCAGCGCGCAGGAGCACATCAGGACAAATGAAGTTAGGTCTGTCTGCAGAACCAGAGGAGGCACTTCTATCTGTAAGAGATGGATCTGTTTATGTTTAAAGGGTTTTCCTATTTGGTTTTCATGTCATCAGTCGATCAGACAGAAGTGCAAAAGAGAAAGTGTCTGGGTTATGCCTGAATTGAGCCAGCTGTTGATTTTGCCTGCTGATTTGTTCACATTTTAAGGCTCTCATCTCCTCCTGCTGAAAGAAGCAGTGACTTCCCTCTGTGATCTCTTCCTTGGCCTGCTTGTCTGTCTTGTTTTCGGGGAGCAAAGTGAGCCATAACAAAGGCTTGTTTTCCCCGTTATCCACTGTGGCCATAATTAGCTCTCTGTAATTTTTCTTCCCTTTCACTGCTAATTATTAACGGTCTATAAAGTTCTCATGGGTGATTTTCTACTTAGGTTTTAGCTTGGGAAGGGCTACGTAGTTTTTACAATAAGTGATAAGAGAGGATGGTACCCATGTGCTTGGATGGTGCGGGGGATGAAACGGCACCACCGGCTTTGGGAAGCCAAGAACTGGGATATAAAGCAGGCACCATATGAGGAACTTCAAGAGGAGGCTTTTGCAAGTTGAACTGTTTATTTTGAGGTTCCGATCCTTAGCGTTTGACACACTGCAGCGGTCAGAAACATTCTTAACTTGCTGTGCTATTTAGTGGAGGGAATTGCACAGAGAACAACGCCCTAGAGAATGATCTTGGAAAAAGCTTATGGAATTCTCATCAGAGATGAGGATAGATAGATCTGCTCCTCAGGACATAGGGCTGAATGAAAAAGCTGAGGAATAGAAAACAGGGATTGGAGTAACAGTGATACACAGGGTCTGCATGCCACTAAGCAGCTCCTAACACCTTTCTAAGCAAAGATGTAGGAGCAAGGAGGCACTGATAGGGCTGGAGAGAGGGAGTGAGGATGGAAACAAGAGGAGAAAGGAAGAAGCTGCTTTAGAGATGGAGCAGCTGCGAGCACGCTGTTAAGAACGGGCACAAACAAGGGGAGACAGCCAGGGAGCGACTCGAGGCGCGCGGATGGGAGCCGGACGCCACAAGCTGCTCCCTCGGTGCCCGCTCAGCCTGCAGCCCGTCGGAGCGCTGAGGCGGGGGCGCCCCGCAGCCTCCCAACGGTCACGGCATTTCAAACGCTCCCGCGCGAGCCCACCCCTCCGCCCGCTGCTCCCGCCCGCGGGGGGCGGGGCCGCCGGGGAGAAAGCGCGCGCCGGGCGAGAGGAGCCCATTGGCTCCCGTCCGCGGGGTTGGCGCAGTGGCACTGCGCGGGCCGGCCCCTCCTCCTCCCCGCTCTCGGCGCGCGAAGAGGATGCTCGGCATCGGAGGCCGTCACCGAGCCGCTCCGTTGGCTGCCGGCCGCGTCCATCACCGCCGAGCACCGGTCTCTTCCCCGCCGCGCGGCGGAGGTCGCTCTTTCTGATTGGTCGCCGCGCCCGTCGATCGCGCCCGAGTCTCCGCCCCCGCAGATCAGTCGCGGGCGGTTCCAACCGCGCGTTCCTATTGGCCGCGCGGGCGCGGGGGGCGTGTGCGGGGGGCGTGGCTCCCGGCGCCCCCTTTGTGTGGGCACCAGTAGCCGGCCGAGCTCCCGAGTAGCAGCGGCCGCCATTTTGTGCGCGTCCGTGTTTTCCCCCACCCCCGCTCCCCTCTCCGTGGCGGCCGGGACGCCCCGCGCCTCGTGCCGGGCAGGCGAGGCGAAGCCAAGGCCTCGGGCTGGGCCTCGGGAGCCACCGGGGGCCGTGAAGCCGCGCCGCTCGCAGCGAGAGAGGAGGGAAAGAAGCGGCAGAACGGAAAAGGGGGGGAACGAGGCTTCGGCGCTGCCCCCCGACGGGAGGAGGAGTCTCGGCGCCAGGCCCGGGCGCGGCACCGGCATGGAGAACTCGCAGCTCTGCAAGCTGTTCATCGGCGGCCTCAATGTGCAGACCACGGAGGCCGGGCTGCGGGAGCACTTCGCGGCCTACGGCACGCTGACCGACTGCGTGGTGGTGCTCAACCCGCAGACCAAGCGCTCCCGCTGCTTCGGCTTCGTCACGTACTCGGCGGTGGAGGAGGCGGACGCCGCCATGGCCGCCTCTCCTCACGCCGTGGACGGGAACTCAGTGGAGCTGAAGCGCGCCGTGTCCCGCGAGGACTCGGCCAAACCCGGCGCCCACGCGAAGGTGAAGAAGCTGTTCGTGGGCGGCCTGAAAGGGGACGTGGGCGAAGGGGACCTGGTGCAGCACTTCAGCCAGTTCGGCCCGGTGGAGAAGGCCGAGATCATCGCCGACAAGCAGAGCGGCAAGAAGCGCGGCTTCGGCTTCGTCTACTTCCAGAACCACGACGCGGCCGACAAAGCGGCCGTGGTGAAGTTCCACCCGATCCAGGGCCACCGCGTGGAGGTGAAAAAGGCCGTGCCCAAGGAGGACATCCAGGCGGGCGGCGGCGGCTCCGCGCGGCCCTCGCGGGGCGGCCGGGGAGGAGGACGGGGTCGGGGCGGCGGCGGCTCCGGTAACCGGGACCACAACGGGCTGTCCAAGGGCGGCGGCGGCTACAACAGCTACGGCGGCTACGGCGGAGGGGGCGGCGGCGGCGGCTACGGCGGCTACGGCGGCGGCTCGTACGGCGGCGGCGGGGGAGGCGGCGACTACGGCAACGGGTACGGCGGGTTCGGCAGCTACAGCCAGCACCAGTCCTCGTACGGCCCCATGAAGAGCGGCGGAGGAGGGGGCGGAGGGGGCGGCGGCTGGGGGGGCCGCAGTAACAGTGGACCGTACAGAGGAGGCTACGGCGGGGGAGGGTACGGGGGCGGCTCGTTCTGAGCCGGAACGCCCGAACCCGTTGGGCCGGGGCGGCTTCTCGACGGTTTCTTCCTCGCCCGCCGGAGGGCGGCTCCTTTTAAATGCCTCCCCGCTGGGGGAGCAGCTCCTAAATGCCCCCTGGGGGCCGCCTCTGCCGCCCGTGCCGCTTCTTTCTCTCTGAAGACGGACCGGGCCCCACACACACACATACTTTGTGTTACAGTCATTGATGGACTCTATTTTTTTATTATTACTTGGACCTTGGTCGTTTTTATACTAGCAACGAAAAATGTCTTGTTTTAATTTGCTCTTTTTGGGGGGTACGGGGTGGGAAGCGTCTTGCCGATCTGGAGTAACAACCGGGGAGGGCTGTGGGGAATTCCTTTGTTGTAAGGACTCGATACCTGGCTACTACGTTTTTTTCTACAAAGCCTACTCGGATCCCATGACTGAAGTTAACGTTTCTGTAAAGGAGGAAAAAAAAAAAGTCGTTTTTACGTTTTTTTTATTTTTTAAATAAATCATTGTGTTCATTGATCTTTACATGTCTAATTTTTTTTCCTAGGATCCATTCCGTACGGTTTATGGCTTTTCTCGGTTTTAAGTGTTGCTCTGCTTTTAAATCTCTGTGTACTTAGAGTCAGTATTTTGTTGTCAGTAAAGGTTCTGACTGACTTTTTTGCTCCCCCCGCTGGATTTATCGGTTCCCAAACATTCGGCGGAGAAATTGTTGAAGTCTCAGCCCGTGGATATGGTCTGTCTTTAAATACTCGTTTTCACTTTGCAGTTTGTGTGCATCCACCATCTTGTACCGGGCGCTTTGACGTGCTGACATAGTTGGTTTTTTTCTATAGGACTTTTCCATCAGCGTATGTACCGTGTTTTGAAGAAATAGTTTGTGTTAAGCATGTGCTTCATTCGTATAAAATGTTCCGAATTTCCGATTGCTTAGTTTCAAGTCTTCTTATTGGTTTGTCTCTGTACAGTTCCTTTCAGGAAAGGGTCAGCATTTATCCCCTTATTAAATGCACACTGTTCTCATAGTTAACGGACTTCACTGAACAATTGTCCTACGTTAAAGTTCCCCGAGATCCCTGGCAGCTCCACCTACTGGAGGATGGCAGCCTGCAGCACGAGGAATGCTTTGCTAATGCTTGTACCAGACCTGAAAGTTAATTGATGCCGTTAGATGACTGGTGTAGAGCAAAATGCAACCTGCATGTGAATAAAGGTGGGCTCTGTGAGTATTGACTGGGCAACAAAAATAACAAAAAGATTGCAATACTTGTCTCAGCACACTTTTTTTTTCCTCATAATTGCAATTGCCCATGATATTTGAAAGTGATAATTGTTTGGGCAAAGTGCTATGAAAAATGAGCCAGCTAAGTGTACCGGTAACCCAGGTGCCAGTTGTAAAGCAAAAGTATTTGTGTAGTCTGCTTGATTAACAAATGTATATTTGTAGCCCTTTCACGCAATAGAATTAAAGTTTGTTGTTTATTAAAAAGCATAATGTTTTAGGGGAAAACTGCCTTCCTGCATAGAAATATAGAATAGCAACGTTTATGGGTTTATGGATATCAAATAAAGAATTGAATTCCTTATATGCTTGAGTGAGAGTATGTATGATATGGGACATGGATTTGTAAGTACAAAGTTATTTTGACTTCAGGTTTCTGAGCACTTAGTCTTTAATGCTGATGCTGTGTGGGTCTGTGTCTTAAAAGCTGGCTTTTATTTGCTCCAGGTGTGCAAGATAGGCGTGTAATTGTGCCACTGGGCTGGAAGATTGTGCATGAAAATTCAAGGTATTGTCAGTCTTGAATGTCAGCCTAACCTGACTCTGATTTTAGTTGCAACATCTTTCTCATTGCTATCAGAAGTAATAGTGTCAGCTAAATTCATTACTTGCTTAAGCATGAGTGAATAGGGCAACTTTCTGATATCATTGGGATTTAAATGAAGAGCAGAGTTTCCTCTTGGTTGTGATACTTGTGGTTCTTCAACAGTGAAACTGGTTCTCTGTGGCTTAGGTTCCAAGTGATTTGCTATTTGCATTTATATTGTGGGTTTTTTTAATCTTAGAAGTTCATTAGGCTGTTGCTATTGAAAGTGTGTGACACTTGAGAGAAGTATTTGTGAAAGGCTGCAGTTGGTGAAGTACCAGCTCATCAGAACAGCTTCAGGTGGTTGGTTGTAGTTCAGTTCACAGAGCTGGATGGTTCTTGTTTCCTTATTTGCAGTCTAAGACCACGTTGGACTGTCATCCTTGAGCTTCCCTGGGAGCACAGCTTTCCTTTTAGCAAACAAATTGAAGTTCTGTGTTCTGTGTCTTCTGTCTGGGTGTGTGAGCTGGGCTCGGGATGGACTGCCTTAGTAGCCTTATTTGGGGACCAGCTGGTTTTGAAAGAAGCAGTTAAATTCATTTCTGTGACGTGCTTTGTTATGTGGTTGGAGGGATGAAGATTTGCTCATCAGGTGTAACTCTGGTATTTTTCATGTTCTGTGTCATGAAAGCTGTTGGTAATAGGAAGAATATATATTTGTAAAGTTACTGCTTTGGTTGTGAAATCTGACAGCTTTGATAAGCAATAGCTTGACGTTGAGAATTGTGCTGAAGCATGCTGCTTGATTATCTGTGTGTAGCTCTCCTCTTGGACGACTAATGTCTTAGCATAAAAAGCAGATCCCAGAAATAGAACCTATGCTAGGGAGCATTGCTACCTAACGTGTATCTCTGCAGCGTGTCACCTGTGTTACCTTCCACAGGCATCCCATAGAATGTTTGTGGTGAGCACGTCGAGGAGCTGGGCCTTGCCCTGCTCTTACCTTGTCTCAGGGCAGTGAGAACTTCGTTGTGACAGTGCTGGAACATTGCAGGGGCTCACGTAAGCAATGGTTTAATAAGCAGCAGTAGTACTGGGGTGCACCATGGAATGTAGGTAGATGTACAGATCTGTGTTGGATGGCATTAAAGAATCAAAAGGTATCTATTCAGAAAGATTCTGTGTGCTTTCCATAGTAAACGGAAGACATCTGTTGGTAGATTTTTGATTATGTATTTAATATTTAGTAAATATGTGCCCTCTAGATGGGCTCCTCTGCACAGAGATAACTAAGATAACTGCATAGAAAACTAAGACAAAATGAAGGTGTGTAGCTGGCATGCAAAAAAGCTTTAGACTATTTAAGTCACTCTGGAGTGCTTTTAGGGAAGAAGAGATCAAGTTCCCTTGTTTGCTGTTCCTTAGTTTGCAGTTTAGTTCAGGAGTGCAGGTGTCTAAAATTAACTTCATTCCTTCCTAAAGGCCACAGAGGATTGCTGGTTCCACCTGTGACAAACGGCATGAGAGCAGTGTGTTTACTGTTGAAGCTGAATGAAGCGCAGTAGTTTTAAGAGAACTTGGATGTTCTTTTTAAAATCTGGATGAGCAAAAAAGGAATTGTCCAAAACAAAGCTCTGCAGGGGCTGCAGTACCACACTATGGCTGTGCTGTGATGTGCATGAAGTTTCCAGTACTGTAGTCACTGCTCCAAAGTACCATCTGTTCTTGATCCTGCATCTGGGATGACCTGTGAATTTTATATGACTAATAAAATCAGCCTAGCATATGCTTTGTTAAAATGAATGGCCACTGCTTTAAAAAGAAACACGCTGAATGCCTGTGTAGGTAATGAACTGCTACCTGCACAGATCAGTAGAGGTACATCTCTCTGTTCTTAACACTCGCTGATGGAAGGGTACTTTGGAATTGAAGCAACAGCTGAGGCTGCTTTGATCATAGATCTCCGTTGGTCACTAACTGTGGTACAGCTGTGATTGTTTGAAAAAACTCTGCCCTGCCCTGCAGGTTTGCATAGAAGACTTCAATGGACAATGTTTACTCTCCAGAGCTGAAGCTCTCAGGTCTGTGTGGTGTCCTTAAGTAGCTGCAGTGCTGTAGGCATTGGGCTCCCAGTTCTGTGTAGTGGGCTGTCTGGGACCAGGAGGAGTTAGGAGATGGAATTGAACTGTATCAGATGCTTTGTGCATGTGTCGCCTTAAAAATGGATGGAGCTGGAAGTTCTGCCTGGTTAAAAACGTGATTTAAAGTTCTTAAATGCTTTATGGTGGTGTTTTTCTTTTCCTCAGAAAGTTGGATCCCCTCTGTAAAACAAACTTTACTGTCATTTAACGTTAAAAGTGCACTGTGTAGGTTGGAGCACAGGTTTGCTCTCCTGCCTTGCTAGCTGATACTACTGTCGCAATATAATGCCATTCCTATTGCTACTGAAAAGGGTCTGAGCAGTGTCCAGGACCCCAACCTCCCATTCAAGTCTGAAAATAGAGCGGATTCTTTTTCTTGTGTATCTCAGAATATCCTTTCTAAAATGCAGAAGTTTGGTTTGAATTGCTAATCTCAACAACAAACCCTAACCCAAAGGAAATCCAGTCCCTTAAGGACGGAGTTGTGCTGTGTGCGTGGCAAACAGAAATGTGGTACAGTTTTGTGAGAACAGCATTTTGCTTCTGAAGTCTGTGAGATAATTGGTTACCTAATAGAAAGCAAATTTCTGAGTGTGTTAGGAAGGATTGCTTGTCATGAGGTAGCCTTTATGGATTAGAGTTTATCACATAATCAGCAGTTTGCAGCACATCTGTGGGATGCACGTTTTATTGTGGACCTCTGCTTCCTAAGCTGTCACAACAAGGCACTTCTTATATGTCTGTCTTTTGGAGTCTGGCTGTGTGTGTCTGTGGTGTACACACATACAGCCTGGGTGAGGGTTAGCGGATGGAAAGTGAACGACCTCAGCTAGAGAGCAGTTTCCAGAACAAACAGTGTTTTTGATATTTTAAAGTTTAGCAGCTTCTGACACCTGATGTATGCATCTCCTGAGGATGACTTTCTGCTTGTTGTTATTATAGTTCATTACACGAATAAAACAATTGCACCTCTATTTCCACTTCACAACTCAAAAACATCAGCAGGAGCTCTGAGCCAGCACTGCTTGCTGCTCCTGATGGGCTTTTGTAGGTCTCCTGGTGGAGTATTACTACTTTTATTATTTCTGGTACGTATGTGTATACAGTGATGTACAGAACCTCAGCTGCTTATCTTTAGTGAGTATTTATTTCTAGTGCAGTATAAGTGCTACTACTGACTGGTGTAAGGTTATGTCTTACAGCAAAATGAATAGGCTTTTTGCTGCGTGCCTTTACTGAAGTGTTTTCTATGATTTGGTCACACACATGCTTTTAAAGGAGCTGATGGCATCGGGTGCTTTCCTCCTTGATGTCCCCTTGACAAATCCCCATCTTCTCTGCTCCCAGAACTGTTTGATTTCTGCAGTATGGAAAGGGGAGGAAATACATTTTCATTTTTAACTGAGACCTCTGTGTGGTTCTAGGAGTGCTTTAATTATATCTATATTCCCTTAGAAACATCTCATCCGTCTCGTGGGATGATGTGGAAGAAGTGCAGCAGGAATGCTGTAATGAAGCAGTAGTTTGATACAGGAGAGACATTCTTCAGATTCTTTTATTTTCCTAAGTT